TTGTTCTTTTTAAAAAATAAAATAAAATAAAATTTATATTTAGAACAGTTTAGAGTTACAGAAAAATTGGAAAGATATTAGAGAGTTCTCATAAACTCCACACCCAATTTCTCCTGTTATTATTTTACATTAGTATGATGCTTTTATTACAATTAATGAACAACATTGATAGGTTGTTATTATTTAAAGTCCATCCTTTATTCAGATCACCTTGGATTTTCCCTCATATCATTTTTTATTCCAGGATATCACATTACATCTAGTCATCACACCTCCTTAGGTTCTTCTTAAAAGTAGCAGTTTCTCCCCCCAAATGATAAGCTGCTGCCCATTAAATATTTGTATCTGTAGATGGCTTCAGTCATGATACATGGCTTTTGTGAAAATAAGTGGTTAAAAAAAAAAAAGCTACTGAACACTTCTTTTTCTCATCATCTGATCTTAACCAGAGTAAGGTACAAAAATTCTTTTCAGTGACATGAGAGCATGAAAGTTACTTGAACCCTCACATAACCATTTTCTCCTCCCTTTTGGTTCTATACACCTACTACCATATCTGTTAGCATTTCTAGGAAAATACTAATAGAGGGGGAAGAGATTAAAAAGGAATCAGAAGGCCCGTTGTAACTACAGCAAAGAAGCAATCAGGAATTGGGAGGGTTGTGTTGTTGTTTTTCTTTCTGAACAAATACCTCACCTATAATAGGTTTAAATTATACAGCCTCTGATGTTTTTTCCCAATGCTTTAAAAAAAATGGTAACGAACATGCGTTCAAGGCTTCCTAAGCACCTGATACTATATCTTACACAGTCCTCAAGACAACCTTACAAAGTACTGTAAATATCCCCATTTTACAGATGAGAGAATTAAGACACAGAGAGATCAAGTAACTTGCCCAGTGTCACACAGCAAATCAGTGGTAATGTTCACATTTGAACCCAGTAGGATGAACTCAGAGCCTGCAGTCAACAGCTGTGTTTCTTACCACATCACGTGGATATCCCAGAGCATTTGGACACATAGAACACGCAAAAGGTTGAGTGGCCCAAGTGCAGGGGTTTGAGCATCTGGTACTGGCATCAATACAAAATTCATGATTAACAACAGTTACCTTCACCCCCAAATTGTTTCAATGTCACTGGTAAGTTTGGATCAGGAGAGGATGTTCTGTGGTTTGGTGTTAAAGTTTAAAAGCCATTATGCCGGTATTGATAACCAAATAACGGGGGGGGGGG